ATCGGCAGGGTGATTTCTGGAATCGAAATCTCGTCCTTTAGCATTAAAGCAGCGCTACTTGTCACTTTGCCATACCGGCCAGCTTGATTTTCAACATTTCCAGTAAAATCAATCACAAATAAAGTACACATCTGACATGAAGAAAAAACTGCGCTATTTTCCAGCCTCTAAAATACAGCATAGCAACAACCGCGCTCCATGTCCTGCATAGCTCTGGGCTGAGACTGACAAAACAAGAGTTCAGAACATCTTAGCACGTCCCGTGTAGTTCAGGCCAGAACAGCCAAATGATTCCGGACTGAAGGCTCGACAAGTCAAGTGGCAAAAAATGGAGCGGCTTGTAGATCACTGCCCGCGATGTAATGTAGCCAATTTAGAAGCTGACAGGTATCTCTTTCTTACGAGAAAAGAAGTTATTCGTTTTCTAAGCGGCTTTTTTCAAGTTTTACTGATGAAGTCCAGTTGCGGTACTAGGTGTATACAATTGAATGATCGAAACAACTTTATCCTAGCTGCTGCGATCACACGTACAAATTTATGTAATGACTCTGATTTACATCTATTTACATTATTATAACTACTTCGGTGTGCTTATTCCTTTCTCCTTACTTTTATTCACTTTCAGCTAGTTATATCGCTGCAATGACTTCACACTGTTTTTAGCAATCGTAATAAACGCCGTGATACCTCTCAATAAAGAAAGGCAGACGAGAGCATCCCAACATAAGGATATCTGATCTAAGGAAGGTCCTTGGCAGCCTGATGCTGCAGTCCTTCGGGGAGGAATTCTGGTACAAATAGCTGAACTCACTTACTTTACCAGATCGGCACTGAATCGCGTTCTTGTATATTGTCGATGTCTGTTTTCTTGTTCATTTGTTCCAACTGGAAGGGCGGAAGAAAGGATGTAGTAAACAGCTGCTTCCATATAGGCAAGTGTTTTTTCAACCAAATCACCTTTCTGAAAAAATTCAGTTACGGAATTAAGAATTTAAGGCGCAACGAAAGTCCAGTTCCAACCGAAAAACTAGGTAACCTAGCCGACAGTACACCTGCTGTTGGTGCAAAGGTATGTTTTCTATGTAATTTTCCCGCAGGTTTTTGTTGTTGGCGCCACTGTTTTTTTCCAGCAGATGCTCCTAGCTAACAGAATTGAGCCTGGTTACCACGAATGTCCGAAATTATTGCAATGAATCGCAATCCGCACATCCGTGGCCATGTTCAAAAAAAAAAAAA